TCTCTGTAAAAAATCAATAAAATATATATATTTAAAAAAAAAACACACAAAAAAACATGGAGGTAGTAATGGGTAAAGGGGGTCAAATATATGGTAACAGAAGGAGATTAGACTTTGGGTGGTGAACATGCGATGCAGTGTACAGGTGATGTGTTATATAATTGTGCACCTGAAAGCTATATAATTTTATTAACCAATGTCACCCTAGTAAATTTAATAGTAATAATAATTTTTAAAAACCAGAAAATAGACACACAAATTTCTGCACTTGGGATTTCTACTTGCTGACGATCCCTGCTTGTGTGTGCAGTGACACAGGCTGTAACATGTAGTTCAAAATCCAGAAGAGATATAGAAAGGATATAGATATAGACTGCATATACACTGAGTGGCCAGATTATTATGACCGGCCAGATATTATGACCACCCCATCAGTACTTCATTGACACTTCCAAAAATACTGAATATTGAAAACTTCCTAAGCAAGTACTCTCAAGGTTTTATTATTATTATTATTTGCATAACTAATTCACTTCATTGTACTGATGGGGTGGTCATAATAATCTGGCCACTCAGTATATGCACACACACATATAATCAGCAATATATACAGAGAAGTGTCTCCTTTACCCCTTCCTTCCTACTCCCCTTCCCCTTCCCACTGTTGTTGGTTTCTTGGTTCCCTTTCAATGTTTCTATAAAACACAAGCAGCATGTGCGAAAACATCTTAGTTTCCTTCCTTTCTTAGACAGACGTAGCATATACTACGTACACATGCTCCTTGGCTTGCGATGGGGTTACCGCCCATAAGCCCATTGTAAGTTGAAAATACCGGCAGGTGAAATGCAGTGAATACACCTCCCCTGCGACGGCGTGGCAGCCTGGCCGGTCTCTGCTGGGTGTGCATCACTTCTGCGCATTGTAAAGTCGACAAGTCGTAAGTCGGAGCAGTGCGCTGGGCACTGTCCGTAGACTGCTCTGTGCCTTGCGGTGTCATTATCTGGAGGTCTTTTCCATGTCCGTGTAGAGAGCAGCCTCATTCTTTGTTTCATAGCTGTGCAGTAGTCCAATATAGTATCCACATTTTTAAAAAATCAGTACACATTATTATTTAAGAGCAGTTTTAAGTTTATAGACAAATTGATCAGAAAGTACAGACTTCTGCCCTGGCCGGTGTGGCTCGGTTGGTTGGAGCGTCGTCCCGTGCACCAAAGGGTGGTGGGTTCGATCACAGTCGGGGCACATGCCCAGGTTGCAGGTTCCGTTCCGGTTGGGGTGCAGGCAGTAGGCAAACAGTCGATGTTTCTCTCTCCATTCGTCTCTCTTTAAAAAAAAAAAAATTATAT